CGCGGGGGCGATGCGGGGCCGCCTCCCGGCGCTGGGTTCGCTCTGCGGCTGCCCGGGGCCGGCAGTGAGCGCGGGGCGGCGCCGGGGGAGCCGGCGGGGAACCGGGCGGAGCGGAGCCTGGCCGCGGCCGTTCCCGCAGCTGGGGGTGACGGAGAACGGCGGAGGTGGTGCGGGAGTCCCGGCCGCGGTAAGCAGCCGCTTCGGGGGTGTTTGGGGGAGGCGTTTAGCGCGGCTTTTAAAGATTTAAATCTTTGGAAGATGAATCTCTAAAAGAATATACGTTCCTCTGTTTTGCTGTTCTTCTGTCATCCTTTCGACAACTTTCTGAGAAGCGGAGAGTTCGCAGCGCTCTCTGGAGCCGCCGAAAGCCCCGCGCCCATGTGCGAGCCCCCGCTGTGCCCGGGGCGGCTCCGGAGCTGCGGGCGGCGGCGGGGGCCGCGAGTTCGAGTCCCGGAGGTGCGGCGGGTCGGGCGGCTGTCAGCTGTCACGGGAATGCGTGTTTCCGTCACGCGCGGGTCGGGGTTGTGCTTCTGAAAGTTGTAAAGGTTTGTGCGGCCCGTCTCTGAGCTGATGAGGGCAGTGCTGCGAGGTTTTCGGGGCTTTTCGAGTCTTTTAACCTAAAATATTTGTGGGTTTGGTGCAGTAACGTGCCAGGGTTTAATGTGATTGGAGTCTGCTAGAGTGCCTAGGAAAAAAATATATATATCTTTTTCCGTGTAATGGTTATGACTAATTGTGCCAAGGAGGAAGACGGCTGCTTAGGTTACTGAAAACTTGTGAGCAAGGAGTGAGGGAAGAAGTCCAAGCCCTCAGGTGATGTGTGGCCAAACGTCACCCTGCCAAGATGATAACGTCACCCTGCCAAGATAACTCCACGTCCTGTCAGCATTTCCACCAGCGCTGCCAGAACAGCACGGCTTCCCAGAAGTGCTCCCCTCCTGTCCCAGCAGCCTGGCAGCACTGCCACCCGCCCGGCAGGTACAGGAGTTCCCCTGGGGGCTGCTGAGCCTTGCAACGAGGTGAGGTACTGCCATAGGGAGCCCTTCTGAGAGGTACTGGTGCAGCTGGTTCCTGTTGCTCAGCCATGGTGAAGCCAGCTCCCAGCTGGGATGGGGATAGCTGAGCCACACCGTGCCGGAGGTGTTGGTGGGCACGCAGCATCTGGAGCCACTCTGCTCATTGCCTGGCCGGGAAGAACCACCTGTGGGTGGGAGACACTGCAGTAATTCCCCAGGAGCCAGTTCTCAGATCTCAATGATAGTAATGGCTTTTTTTTTTTTTTCTTTCCCATAAGCATAGAAGTGCTGCTATGCACTGTACATCAAAACTGCTTGTTTAATCGCCCCATGGCACCTCATCTCCTGGTTATCTCACTGCACAGCACCTGGCAGAGGGGGACTCTACTTGAAATTCTGCAGTTAGTGGAGGATGCTCTGCTGAAGAATTTTATGACGTAGTTCCTCTTTCAGAATGCGTAAGAAATCAGAGAGATTTTTCCAAAATATTGGAAAGTATTAGTGGATCTTTGGGTTCACACAAGGCAGTGTATTTCCCTGTGCTTGAGCTACTGGCTGGGCCCTTTGATTAGCTGCTCTCACTAACCTGTGGCAGCCTGCAAAGCATCTGTGACCCTGCAGTCACTGCTGGTCATTGTGAAGCTGTTCTGGTGGTTGGACTTACTCTGTAAGTCTGGTTGTTCACTGAGGTCATTAGGGATCACAGCTGGGCTTAACATTTCAGCTTTAGCATCGTACATTTTTCCTAAAATCCTGATAATGTTGGAGCTTCCCATATCTCAGAAGTACTGTTGGGGTGGAAAGAGCAATGGGTTGTTTGGATTTAATCCTGTGCTGGTGATCTGTGCAGTACTCCTAAGCTGTTTCCCATGCAAGATTAGTTTCTCTTTTATATCAGCGAGGTTGATTTTTAATTTAAGAAGTAGCTTCTTACCTCCTAATCTGCTAAATCCATCAACAGGAGTCCCGGTAGTCAGGGATAGGCTTTCCGAGAATGTCAATGCTAAAGGTACATAGAGTTACTGTAGCACTTCCTTGGAGTTTCTCCATGTGAGGTTCACTTCAGTGAGTGTGGTAATGTAGGAGAAAAACTGCAAAATGAAGTAAGGGAAGGTAAAAATTAATTAATAAATGGAAGAAGTTTGATAAGGTCGAATGTGTGCATGAGTTGAAACTGATGTAGATGCCACTAGATTTCTTTTCCTGTGAAATTGCAGTCTGAGAGCATTTCAGAAATAGTAAACCTTCTCTTCATTCTTCTGCAGTCAGTTAGGAGTTTTTTCTTACGCGTGTGTAAACTGAGGCTAAAAAAACTGTCAATGGGCCTGAGTGACTGTAAAGCCAAGTACAAACCCTGGAGGATTTTGTCTATTGGCCTTGTTCTATCCTGTGAGTAACTTGTTTCTTGAGGAAACTGAAATAGTGAGCCATGAGGACGATGAGAGCAGCCCTTCCTTAGGGTGCTTCATGCTCTTTTCCAGAGATTTCTGGAGTAAGAGCAGGACCTATAAATCTTCCTGTTATCTCATTAAAAGCAACCAAATGTCTGGGGCTGGGAGATAGAGGGGCTTGAAATGCTTATTGGTTTCCCTTGCAGTAAACTTGGAGCTGCCATTGTTGACTGTTCAAAGGGAGTCACATCCAGCTCTCCTGATTGGAAAAACATGGATGGGGAGAAAATGCCAAGACCTGCAACTGCCTTCTGTCTCCAGCACCACTGTCAAAAAGTTTTAAAGCTTCAGCTAAAGCTGGGGCTTAAAGGTTTGCCTCTCCCTGCTGTCAGTAGGTGAGCTGTCAGGGCTCACTGTCCTGCCTGCGTCTGCGACCTGGAGCGGAACCTGTTGCTTTGCCTCCATGTGTGTTTAAGGCTGTGCTTTTTTACATATTTCAAGTACACTGCCCGCCTTGTTCCAAAACCTGCTTACATAAACAGAGGCCAGACCTCAAATGTTTAAGCAGAAGAAATTATATAGGCTTACGTGGTTATTTCTCATTCATTCATTGGCATTTAATGCATGTGAGTGGTATGGGTCAAGCTTTGACCAGAGCTTGCTGTTTGTGTCTTAACAGTGATTTAAAAAAAATCTTTTTGACAATAAGTAGAGTCCTTAGAGCTGAAACTCCTGTGGATACTCAGTGGTCAGCATCGTTCTTATGTTCAGTTTGGAGCAGGCTGAGCCCCACGCTGTCAGGGCTGAATTCAGTGTGCTCGCTGCAGCTGTTAGCAAGCAACTGCTTGTTAAACTGTGAAGTATTTTCCTTTAAGAAGTATTTCAGTCACGCTTGTCATAAGTCGAATTTGGAAATCATTTTCAGTAGATCCTCCTCCAGAAGTTGGGCATCGGAATGGAAAAAGCTGGCGGTGTTTTGGCAGGGCTGGGATGCTGAAGGGCTCAGCCTGCGGGCTGTGAGGCCTCGGGGCGGGGACAGGCGGCTGCCCGTGAGGGAGGGCGGCTGCCAGGCCCAGCAATGCCGGTGGTGGAACCCGTCGGAGCAGCTTTGGGCTGACTTGGTGGTGTGTCAGCACTGAGCAGCCTGGCCTGCTGGTGGATGGCTGCACCGTCCCCTTCCCAACCCTGAGTTTTGAGTTACAAACCCGAGTTTGTCGTGCAGCCATTGGCTGAGAGCAAAGGCTTCTCACTGGGTTTGGGCGCAGAGCTGGCGCTGGGCACGGTTATCTGTGCTAACACCGACATACCAAGGATCATAAACGTAAAAAGCAAAGCAGAAAGCTGGCTTGACAAATCACTTTTCCCAGATGGATGCGCTACTTGACAGAATTCTTTAGATAAAAGCTGTGGAATGTGAGTATGCTCAGATGGCAGCCTGTAGTCATCACCGGGACAACGCTGACGTTATTACGGAGCGCTTTAACTGCAGGATGATGTTGACATTATTGTAGTGCACTGTGACTCCTTCCTCTGTTCTTTGAACTACAGCGCAGAATCGTACAGAACTGCTGCTTTTGTGGTTAGATGAGGAAGTAATCATCCTGAGCTGAAGCTGTTATGTGATTTAGAGTGTTCTATTTTTGAGCTGAGATTCCAAGTAGTGGGGAACAGCTTGATACAGGTCTGTACACCTCCATTGAAATCCATCCGTGTGCAGTCCTGGCTGTGTACGTACAGGGATGCGTTCACTTGGTAGGACTGGGAACGATATGGACAGGATAGAGCTGAGAAAAGTGGCACCTGAGAGCCACTCGGGAGAACCCACAGGTGTGAAATTGCAGCCCTGACTGGAGGTCACACTTTGTGCTTTAGAGAAAACCTGGGACTGTTGTGAGCTCCAGGGAAACGTGATACTTCCAGGGCTTTGATCCCTGGGTGGTCACAGGGGAAAGTCAGGTTGAAATAGGTAACAAAAACACGGCTTTCAGGAGGTTCCTGTGTTTTGGTGCCTTTATTCAAAACAAACAAACAAAAAAAACCCTTCTTCAGCAAAGAACCTTTCCTCATTGATTCCAATGTGGATTTCTAGATTGCTTCCTTTCCACCTGTGCTCCTGCTGGGGGTTCCCTGCTAGCTCAGCTTTGGGACAAGGCCTGCGCTCCCTGTGCATTGCACATGCCCTAAAATGCACAGCAAGCTCTGGGGTGGGTGGAAGCTGGGCTCCAGCTCCCTGGTGTTAGGTGGCTGTGTTGAGGCAGCCTTGCTGCTTCTCTTGTTCAAGCAGTAGCTTATTTTCTCACTTGCTTTTAAAAATCAGAATCACAATTGGTTTAATTTGCTGCTGGATTGTATTATCTCACTGCTCCTGCAGTTGTAACACAGTCAAAATTCCAGTGACTTCAGTCTTGTGGGAACAATAAAGGTGTACACAACAGCAACTTATATTAAAAATACCAACTTTCCCTGCATTCCCCAGCACACGAGTCAGCACAGGCATGCTGAACAGCAAGGGCTTCAGCCAGCCAAGTGACAATAATGCTGCTGTAATTCAGACCTCTAAGGCTGCCTTTTTCCATGTCTTTTCTCTCCGCAGCCCTCCTGGGCCAGGTGATGATATACAGTTGGCTTCTGCCCTTGGTCCTCCTGAGCAAGCCCAAGCTGTTTCCACGGCTTACGGAAATGTTGAGCCCACGGATGCTGCTGAGCTGACTGCAGCAAGGTATTGTGAGAGCATTATGGTGGGGTGCTGGGAGGGGTGAGGCGGGCCACAGAGCTCAGCAATAGCTGAGAAACTGCCACCTCTCTTGCTGGATGGATATATGTGTGCTACGGCCACTTAGCTGAGGGGTTTGCTGAATCTGTAGCTGTTGGGGTGTTGTATTATCTTTACTGAGACTTAAATTTTTTTGCTCAAGCAAAACCTTCAAAGGAAGATGTTGTTTTCCTTTCTCCAAGAGTGAATCACTTTGGAGCAGAGGGCTGGACTATGTGAAGGTTCAGTACAGGCATTTATTATTTTTAGATGCTTGTACTGTTTTTTCTTAGGTTTGTTTTTTTGGAAGGGGTTAGAATACAGGGTAACTGATCGTTCAGAGCTTTCTGACTCTTAAGAAGTTCCATAACAGCAGGATGCTGATGACCAAGCATTCAATTATCTCATTTCTGTTGGACACAGAGCTTTTTGTCTGCTTTTATTTGAGAAGGAAGTCTGTTGCTTTGTTGTGCTGGTGGCTGTTGGGTTGTCAAGATCTTTGGGTGTGAATTTGCCTTACCTGCCAACAGGGTGTGTTTAACCTTCAGTCACCATGAATTCAGAGGAGTGTAAACATGTATGGAATATTTAAGCTAGCATTAAACTGGTTAGCTAAAGTAGTAGTAATACACTATCAAAGGCAGAAAGAACCTTGTGGGGTTTGCACAATCCACCTTAAAAGCCAGGTAACCTTGGCGTGAAGCTGTTGCTCGTCTTCCACCTGTCCCCAGGCTAGTTAGGCTGCTAATGCTGAGTAAATCTGAGAAACAAACTTCTTCCTACAACCAAGAGACAAGGGGATCTAGAGAAGCTCGCACAGGAAGCTCATGGTGTGGATTTCTTCTAGTCCTTGTAAGTTTTTACTTGAATAGTTGTGCTTTTTTGTGTTTAATAAATTTATTTGGATTAATTTTGTTCCAGGGATTCTGTTTTTCTCTTATTAATGCACTGTCTGTCATAATAGCAAACAATAGAAAAGAGTGAGCAGTGAGTGAGGTGGAGCTGTGAGATACTGAGTGCAGTGGAGTGAAACAAAACAAAAAAAAACCAAACCTACCACCAAAAGTGCCAAGATTTACATAAGATCCCTTGAATACAGTCTAAATTACAAAGCTCTTTTGCCCCTGAGGAGATAGTTTGCTATTTGTAGGCAAAAAGACATGTCACCTTAGGAAACATTTTAGAAGAGCAGTCTTCACAGTATCTTAATTCACTGCTTCCTGTAAACCTTGTGGATTCACCCTGTTCACATTCTTGTCTTGATCTGAGCTTTAAGGTTCATTATATTACGCCTTTTATTTTGATCTGCTTTATACGTTCTGTCTTAAAGATGGTTTTACATCTTTAAGCGTGCAAGAGTTGGTCTTGGGCAGAGCCCACAGCTGTGACGGGGCACAGCCTACAGCAATCACAGTGCCTGGGACTCATTTCAATGCTCTCCTTTCTGTATCCCACCCATGGTGAAGGTGCAAGGATTTTTGCAAGGGGTCACTGATAAAGGGTGCAAGCCAGGGATATGCAGCCTGCAGGAAGTGATAGCCTTTCAGTTGCTGAAACAGGTAGGTGAGAGAGAAAATGCACAGCGGTCAGCTAGGGTGAATCTGGCTGCAGGCAGTTGTCAATTGTTTGTTGATTTTGAATTTTAAAAAGCCAAAATCTGTACAGTTGTTATCAGTATAGTTTTTCTTTTTCCTTTATTCTGTACCTGCTTTGACATAAAAGCCTGCCTGCTCTTTCACTTGCCTTTCCTGGCCAGGCTGCCAGCTTTGCTGGCTCCTGTTAGTGCAGGTGGTGTGCACTTGGCAGAAGTGTTCCTTGTATGTCTGGTGCTAAAATGCACCAGCTCACACGTGATCCCACCTGCAGATGCAGCTGGTAGGCAGGCTGGGTTCATCTTGTGCAGCTGCATCACTTCCACTCCTGCCTGAAACAGGCTTCCAGCTCCCAGCAGTGACCCACAGTGGTTTGTTCAGTCCTGGCTGGATAACTGTAATGCTGAAAGCCAGTGAGAGCAATACTTCTATGGCACGTGGGGCTGTGCCCACCTTTGGGATCGGTGACAGCAGGACTGAGCTTTTCTTGAGGGGAATCTGAGTGATATTTGTTGCTTTGTGCCTTTGCCTTATTCCTCCTCTCTTCACCTGTGACAGGGAGCAGGTACTTGCCTATCTTTTTTATTATTTTTTTTTTTTTACTGTTTTTGTGTAGAAATTCTGTACCACTGCTTTCACTGTGACTGCAGAGAAATTCTCCAGTGCACATGCATGCGATGTCACTGTGTTGATGCTCCCTGCTTACACCTGTGTGTTGTACTTACCAGGGTTATTAGGTGGCATAATCCTTTCCAGTCTATCTGCAATAAAATGTAATTACAAAGTGGGTTTTCTTGTAACGTATGTAGTTATCCATTAATAAGTTCCTTTTGTTTCTCCATCAGGAGCATCATACAATGCAGATGGTGGGCACTTTGTCAGGGGAAAATAATGGTGCGTGTAAGGCAGGGGTCAGTTTGTGCCAAATGTCTTCCAGATGGCAGTGCATAATAAGAGATCAGGTTGTTCATCCATCTGTCAGTCAAGAAACTGTATCTTTGTTTTGGTTCTTGGGGACTGCTTCTCCTCCCCTGCTGGTAATGTATTGATCAGAGGCATCAGGGCATCACATCTGCTTAATACTGCATTTTATTTACTGTATATACAGAGCAGTGCCCTGAAAAGAATTAGGTCAAGAGTTCATTGGCTGCTTGGCCAAGCATTTTTTTGTCAGTGCATGTAGCTCTAGGAGAAATTCTTTTTGGACGTATTCCTGCTGCAGGTGCAGCACTCCTGTTTCGTGGGAGATGTGTTGGGGACTGGAGGGGCACACGGAGCATCAGGAGGAGGCTTTTGAGAATTGCTGAAAAATACACAGAGGCAGAGGTGGAAAAGTGTGTTTTCAGATCAGCTCAACTGGATCAGCAGGATCCAGAGTAGCCAATGCATGCTTCCTTGTGGGCTTAACACATATTGGTGTTACAGCTTGTCAAAGCAAGGCCTGTGCTTCCCAAATCCCAGGAAGCAGAGCTCTTCTAAAAATGCCCATTCTGATAGCTTGTTTTGCTTTGCAGAGTGTCAGCAGTGGCATCAGTCAAAGGATATTGCTGAAGATGTTTTCCTTTTATGTGGAAAGGTGTAAAGGGGAGAGCTGAGGGACTGCAAAGGGCAGTGAGATGTGAGTGCTACTGCAAGCAGTTAGCTGAGATGCTTTCTTGTGTACACAATGTAATGTCTGTAACTGTGTGTACATTCAGTATTCTTGCTTTGCTGGGTCCACTTCGTAGTGTTTGTGTTTTGTGATTCGTTTGCTCTCCAAACGTGTGTTCAGCATTTTCTTATTCTTAGCAATTCACTTTTTCCTTGAAAATCTTAACTTTCTCTCATCTCCATGTGACCCTATATAGTCACATAGCGTTTGTATATGGTCGATGCCATTTCTATATTAGGATAAAGACATTTTTAGCAAAGGGAAGAGTCTTCCCTGTGGAAAAAGGAAACAGCTTGCTTTTAAATAAAGGACTTGATGGGACTGGGGAGTCGGGAAGTTTGCGTCGGTGTCAGGACAGGGTGGGAAAGGAAGGAAGGGAGAGAAGTGCTCAGAGCAGAGATAATTGGCTGGTTTCTTGGAAGAAATAACATAATAGCTAGCCCATATGGCACAGAGCTACTTCGTGCATGTGAGCTAATTACGTAGACCCCTTTTAAGTGCTCGTGGTCTGTGTGGATAAACACTTTGGGGAATCACTGTCTCCACGCTGATAGGTACTGTGGCTAAAGTTAGAGAGATGTGATTTATGGCTGTCCTTGCTTGTATGCATGTTTCTAAAGAAAGGAACAATTTGTCCCTGAACCTTACCAGCTCTCATCCAGTAATGCAGTTATTCAAGTATAACTACTGGGGGCAGGGAGAGGAAATTAAATTTAAAGGATAGAATGACAGAAATGGCCATTAATGCTTAGCTTAGGAAGCCTAAAAGCAGCTTCTCACCCCTGGCCTAGTTCCACCAACGTTTCCTTGGGTCTGAACTTGCAGAAACAAGTTGGGAAGCTGCCTCAGGGCACTTCTGTCCCCCTGGTGAGTCAGAGCCGCCCTTGGGAAGCACTTGGTGGCTGCAGTGCTCCTTTGGTTCCTTTTGAAGTCACTTAAACTGAGTGTTTATGATCTGTTGTGAGGAGAAAGATCTCTGTGAGACCTGTACAGGAGTAATTAGGGATTTCTGCCATTCATCTCCATTGCATGTAGCAGAACAGTCTTGAATTCCTCTGGAAGATCATGCTTGGGTTTGTAAGAGCTGTCAAAGCTTTGCAGTAGTTTGCTGTTCATGTGGTCATCTGAGAATTTAAGTAGGCTTTGTAGGAAGAAGTAATTCATGGGAGGCAGGGGGGAGAGTACCAGTGATGGAACAGTGTGCTCCTGACAAAAGTTGAGATCTACTCAAACTCATCTTTTCAAGAGATTTCACTGCAGGTCCGTGGGCCTTCTTTAAATTTATCAGCTGGTGATTTTTCGTGGTTATTTTCCAGCACTTCCAAGCCTGATAGCTGTGAAGAAGCTGGGGGGCTCATTTCCGGGGATGTGCTGGTGGCTGCAGCCCCTGGTGGTGAAGTAGAGCTGCCTCCTCAGGAAGCTGGAAGTGTCACAGAGGAGATAAAGAGGTAATGTTCAGTGCTATTTCATGCATTTAAAGTAAATTTCCACATCTATATGTTTCTGTCTTAAACTATTGGGTGTTTTGCCTAAGTTGTGTGAACACTTTGTTGCTAGATTTTGAAACCAATTGCTAGACGATGAAGACCTGCTTGTTCCACTACATTTCCTCTGGAAGACCAGAAGAGGGAGCTTGCACTACACTGGTTATTAGTGCACTGATCTTCCTCACTGTTTTTAAATTCTTAAATATTCAGTTGTTTTGTTTTTGGTTTTTTTTTGCTCCTCAGGAGAACCGTTTTGCTCATTCCTCTTCAGATGCTGCATTGTAGTTGACAGTAGTGAAGAAAGAAGTTCAGCTTGGTTTCATTCTTGCTAAAGAAACATCTCCATTTCAAAGCTAATCTTTCTCTCCTTCAGCTTTGCACTGACTGTTAAATGGCCTCAGGGAATTCTGCTGGGAAAACCCCCAGGCTGTGTCCTCCCATCTCAGATATAGACAAGAGGACACATGTCTGTGGGTATTCATGTCACAGCTTTGGGTGGTGCCTGTCTTGTGGGTGATTAACCACTGTGCTGCTGTGGCTTGGCAATAATGGCATGCCCTCACTGTGACATCTATTAATGGGAAAGGTCACAGCACGGTTGAGAATATTAAATGGGAACTCTCTGGAGAGTGTCTTTCTCCACCCCACAGATACAGGTTGGCAGCTTGTGACAAGCATGCTGCAAGATGGGAGACACCATGGGAAATACAGCTGTTCTGCTTAAATGTGACATTCAGAAATGTCAGAAGGTGCTGGTGTCAGCAGGAGGATACCCTGAATCACGGATGGGAGCATACACAATGGATGTGTTCTGCTGTGGAACAGAGAATGAATAGCTATCAGCAAACGCTACTCAAAAATCATCTACAGTTTCATACCTAGGAAACGTGTTGGTGAATTTACCTTTATATATTTCTGAGAATTTTGATCAGAAAGTGGTGTCCTAAGCTCCAGTTTAAGTTACACGCTTGCTGTGACGTAGGGTTAGTTCTTTGCTCCTTTATGGTACTGTACACACCTGTTCTTTTTAAGTGTGTACAGTTGGTAAGGAAAAGAAGTGTCTGAAGGTCTGTTTGGCAGCAGCCTGCAAGTTCTGTCATCTGGAGAGAATTCTCTGAACAGAGGATATTCTGGTCGTTCTCTAAAAGCAGCATGAAGAGATGAGAAATCATTTGAGAAGTGTATGGACAGGCAGAGCTGGCTGCTGAAAATGTGCGTTTAAGAATCTCTTTGGTGAGGTAAACAACAGAGTAATGAAGTAAACAATTAAGTAATATTAATAGAATTGCTTGATGCAACATCAAAACCCAGCCTGGGCTGTCGCTAACCGAAATGTGCATCTTCATTATCATTGGAGATGAGCAGTCTGATCACCTGCAGCCTTCTCTAAACTTCTCTGATGTGTTTGCTCTTTTTGCACTGTGAACACAAGTTTATCAGAGATCATAATGCATGTGGAGGTGGGAATTGGAGAGATCTGTAGGATAAAAAGAGCTCTTCCATTCTCCCTGTATTACTGTCCAAACAGTTCTTTGTTGTTATAATCAACCCCTTATGTTAATGCCTCTTGGGCCTTCATGCACTTTTCTGTATTTTCTGTTAATCAGGTCAACCCAAACAGGACACAGAAAATAATAGTGTGCAAGCTGGATTATTTTTCATTTTGTCATATTTATGGCAGCTGTTTGCAGAGTGATGTGCTAAACTTCTGCAAGTGCTTTGCCTCTGCACAGTTTTCTGCAAAATAGATTCTTGAGACGTTTCAGTCTCCTCTGATTATAATGAGCTGCTTATGAACTGCATCACAGGCACTTAATAATTTGGTAGAAGTGCTGAAATATTGCTAGTGAGTGTAACTTGTCACTTAAGGAACCACTGTGGATAGAGCTAGCAAGAATCTGGAGAGCTGATCCATTCCCAATTGTGTTGTCAGGGAGAGATGGATGTGATGCATTCTGCATCTGTTTCTAGTTTTTGTTTTTAAGTGTACTGCATGAACTGTATTGTAGCATGCTTTTTAGGTTAGGTAGACTGTCTGGTGCACAAATGAAGTGATTTTTGTGGAAGAAGCAACAGTGTGAAGATGTTGAAATGAAGTTGCTTAGGTCTTGGAAACTAAAAACCAAGGATTTTTCTTGAGGCTCGATGGTTGATAACCTGCAAAGCATTCACCTCCTGAAGCACAACATAAGTAGATTTCTTTCATGTTACCAACCAGTCCTCCAAGAAATGGGCAAAAATGAGCCACTCTGCTCATCCATTCATTTCCTCTGTTTCAGCCTTTTGAACGAGATTGTGTCTCCCAGCCTTTGGCCTGAGGGCTGTGCTCAGCACTGTGCAGTCTCAAGCAGGAGGATGCTTTGTGCTGCTCACTCCGTCTTGCCAGCCTGTTCCATCAAATCCTAAGATGTTTGCTCTGTTTACAGCTCAAAGTATTGTAGACTAAGAGCATTTTCTTGGCACCGCTTACAGGCTTTTATGGTGTGGTCCCCAGACAAGGGACAGCATCCTGCAGGCTTCTCTGGGTGACCCGGTGGCTGTGTGTGATGGGCAGGGTTCCTGGAGACCCCAAGGTCTGGCAGAGGACAGCTTCCATAAAACAGCAACAATTCAACAAATAGTTTCCACTGATTTGAATTTTAAAAGCCAAGTCATGATATGTTAATGGGCACTTAATTGAAATGTGAAATTGTACCAATTTTCTGACCGTATCTTTGTTTAGAATTTGTGCTCCCCGAGGTGCACCCTGCATGCTCATGCTCTAAGAAGGCAATTAGTTGTGTGTTGTAAAGCTGCTGCCTGCATGTGGCTGTGGACAAAAGGGTGATGGTGGCCCTGTGTTTGCTGCTTATTGCTGTGTATTTTACAGGTTCCCTCAGGCGATATATGATGATTTCCTTGCTGCTAAAACAGGTTCAACAGCATGAAAATGAATATGTCATTACACTAATCCATCCACAAGGAATTTTAGAGTGGCGTTAATCATCTTGCTGTGGCAGTACAAGGGCAGGACAGGCATCACATATCTGTGCTGGTGCTGCCAGCAGGGAGGAGGATTTGAGGGATATGGGCACCTCCTGTGTTAGAGCAGGCAATACAGGGTTAGACTGGGGCCAGGTTTGTGTTTCTCAGCAGTCAATGATGTGGCTGAGTAGGGCCGGTGCTTTTGGGGCAGGAGCTCCACCTACCCCTACTGCTGGGTTTTGGCCCATCCTTTAAAAGGAAAAACCTGAAAAATACTGAAAAGACTCGAACCAATTTTCTGTGGAGTCTCTCAGATTCAAAATGAAGCTGTAGGTGAACGTAAGAAGACACCAATTCAAGGCTGCCCTTGAACCTTAACGTAGGTCTTGCAGATCTGTGGGATGAAAAGCCCTCCTTGTTCCTTGGGTGGCATCTCTGCATGGCTGCCATGGAGGCTTCCCTGCTCTCAAAAGCACATCTCCCTATCTGTACATGGAATCTGTTGTGTTTGGTTCTCACCTTACCCGTCCTAATTCACCACTGGGCCCTGAAAGACTGCAGAGCCCATGGCATCCTGAAGAGAAGCATTTAGAGACCTCTTTTATTGGCTTTGCAGTGGGTTTCTAACACAGGAAATTTCAATAACTAAGCAGGAAATTCAATAACTATTATCCATAACTCTTAATGCCATTGATCTCACTTGCAATTTAGATTAAGCAGTGACCTTAGCAACTCAACACTGATCAATTGTGTGTGTGCACATCTAGGGAGTATTTATTTGTTTCCTTTTTGGGGGGAACGCAATAGAAAGAATTGCTTTTCTTTTTCTTGAAGAATATATTGAAAAACTCATTTAACAGGGTTCTTGATGATTTTGCTACTTAGGTTTCATTTATGCTCTCCTGGGTGCCCTTCAAGCCCGTGTAAATAAAAGGAACAGCCACAAAATGGATAAACCAAAAAATCAGTAAAAAACAACAACCAAACAAAAGATCTGCGATGATGGTTTCAATCTGAAGCTCTTCGGTTCTTAATCTAGGATGGAATTTCTGATTTATATGTGCTGGATGAGATCAAATTAGGGATAGCTAAGGATGGTGATCTGTCCTTACATTGCTGACTAAATACTGTTATCTCAGTAACAGTGCACATGAACAGAACTAAAAGTCTATTTGTTAGGCACTACTAAAACATAGGCATTACAATTTATGTTAGCATTTTTTCTTACAGTAAGCCAAAAGGGGATAAATTTGTTGTATATTTCACGTATTTCCTTTGTTCTTTCAATTGTAGCATGGAGTTGCTCCATAAAACTAAGGGAAGAGAGAAATATTTGGTGATGCTGTGGTACAGCATTACATCCTGCCACTGTCCCTGTGCCATGGCAGTGCAGGCAGTGAGCTGGACTGTGGAGCAAACTGTCTGGAGAAATACACATAGAATCAATGTGGTGCTGCATTGATTCCTGCTGGCAGAGCTCTGTGTTTAACATCAGAGTAGCAATAACCAGGTAAAGCAAAGAGCTGTAGTGAAGGGGAGCAAATGGTTTGTGGCAAGTCAGCTGGCAGCCTCAGCAGCTCACTGCTCAAGGAAGCCTTTGAGTGACTGTCAGTTATAAGGTTGATGGCCTCTTGGTCACGAGAGAGGGAGAGAGGAGTAAGGAACAAAAATCTGGCTACAGGAGGGAGAAGAATAAACCAAGAAAAGGAAATTGTAGCTGCGGCAGGGCTGAAAAGTGTGGTGGTGGGTAAAGAAGTGCAAGAAAATGTATGGCGTGTTTAGAACCATGCATTATGCACTCTATAATGACCAGTGCTTGAATTCTTAAGCAGCTTTGGGGGGAGGATTTGGAGTGCAGGAGCCCTCAGCCTTGGGGTGCCCTGAAAGGGCTGTGCTTCAAAAGCTGCCAGTGCTTTTATGTGCTGATGTGCTCTCCAGTGTGCAGGCAGCCTCCCCTAGGCACTGGCTGGCCTTGCAACTATACAGAACAGCATTGA